GAGCCGTAGGTACGCAAATATTTCGATCGTAGACCATGAACGTTTCAACAAGACTCGGTACCAGTCTCGATCACATAAAGCTCGTGCGGATCAAGAATGGTTAAAAAATCATGTTATACACTTCATTTCGTCCACACAATTACTTTCGAATTCACCAGATGCAAATCTGCTGGATTATTCCATCTGAGTAATTTTGGAGAGCAAGGTGAGGACTAAAAAATATGCCAGTATGGATGCGCTGAAGAAAGCTATTGCTCAGGAATGGGCCAATATACGGAAAGATCACATTCGTGAAGCATGCAATTCATTTTTGAACCGTTTGAAGGTCACAGTCAAAGTAAAACCAAAAGATGGCCACATCGAGGTGGAGTGAATGAATTTTGAAATATTTTATTTCTACAAATTTTTGTAATTTAAATAGGAAACACTTCAATCGCCTATCCCGGTATAACATATCACTGGAAAATTGTTATTTTTGACAAATACCTTATTTGCACTGCTTACAATAAGTTGAGTTATATCTGTCTAGTTAAAAATCGGAATATACTTGTGAACAGTTTTTTGTGACATAACGATTTTCAAATCAGCAAGACAAGAGCGCATTGATAAACTTACTAGCAGCTGTTAAGCGTTTGTGTTACGAGTTCAGTCTAAAAAGTCGTTCATTTGAGACCATAGTTTGTGAAGATTGTTTAGAATCAGTTATTGTGGTAAAAACTTTGATGTTGTGCTGAATATAATTACGCAAAATCTTTGCGTAATATATTATGCCATTGGGGTAAGACTAGATCACATATATAAAATATTGCATGATTGCTTATCCTTAGTAAATATTTGTTTTTGTTGGAACGCATATAATTTGACAAATGTTTAAAAAAATAAACGTATTGAAATAACAAGGAAAATGGTAAAGCTATATAAGCAATGATGTTAAAATGTGAAACTCAACAGCAGCCAACTGTGGGTGTTTTGCAACGATTCTAAACCAGCAAAATAAATTTGTTCACGCTCGAGGCGTTTTCAAACAAATGGTGAGCTGCGGTTCAATAATGTAGTAGCAGCGCATTAAAACAATTATGTCGGTATAACGGATTTTAATTAGTACATTTGTTTGTTAAAAACATTTTGAGAAATGAGAAATACCAACACACATGGGTCGTAAATCGACCTAGATTTTTCTTGGTTTCCGAATATCAAAGATATCTTAAGTGGAATAGTAGAGAATTCTATTACAAGTCATTTAAACATATATTAAAGTGGTATGAATCATAAAGGAGAGTATTTTCAAAAACAGTATTGGCAACTTCGTGTATTTTGTATTTATTAATCCTTCTATGAAAATAGAGACTCGTTTTGCATTTGTTTAGTATAGAAACGAAAGCCAGAAAGTACATAAAAACGATATGTACCTTTATGTAATTCACTTTTGAATTAATTTGTGTTATAAAATATTCATTTCTTTATTACGAGTTTCTCAATATTAAATAATCTTTTTCAAGAAATAGGTTATTAAATTTAAGAATCCAAATAATTTTATATTTAAATCGACACATTTAGATTGAATCAAATTATATATACAACTTTAAAAGGTTTGTAATAGAAAGATCTTTAATAAAGAAGAATTTATTTACAACATAATTAATGGATATAAAAAAACTGATCTTTAATTAAACTTTTTTAGTACGATGAAAATTTTGATGATTGTTACCATGATCGCTCCTTATTTAGTGATTGCAATGGTGGAAACGCAGCAGCAGCTCGTATAAGTGGGTCTAGCGATGCACATGGAAACTGTCAGCGTTTAAATAATACTCTAAAAAAATCAGATTTAAATGTAATCGATTGTATTTTAGTTATAGTCAGTTAATTACTTTTTAATAATATTTGCAGCGAAAACTACCTGCTTTTGCACGCGTAAAGCAAGCTCGAGTTCCAAATGCTTATGATAAAACGGCGCTAAAACTGGAAGTTGGAGATATTATAAAGGTCACAAAAACAAATATAAATGGTCAATGGGAAGGAGAGATAAAAGGGAAAAAAGGTCAAGGTCACTTTCCTTTCACGCATGTTGAATTTATTGATGATTGTGATTTAATACGTTGCTCAGGTGAAAGTTCACATACTCATAAAGAACCAAATATAAGCAATGATTGGGGCGAATAAAAATTGTTTTGACAATCTTATAATATGTATATATTATTTTATGCATGTAATTTTTTTCAATATAGCCTTATAAAATACTTCAAATTAACTTGTAAGTAATATTTTTAATTATTGTATGCTAGATATATATTAAAATTAAACAAATGTATTATGGTAAGATGCAAGAATATTTATTTTGTTCAGTGAGACTTATAATTAAATGAAATAAAAATGAGAGAAATACTTATATATAGTACATATCTGTTTCTTTTAAAGTTATAGTACATATTTTAATATGCATATACAGGTAATCGAAAAGCTAAATTGACAGATGTGAAACATTTTGAAGATGCTAAATGAAAAAGATGAATGTTAAAATTTAAATCTGATATTTTTTAGGCAACGGATTTTAGATGTGTCAATTGTTCTGAGCAACGTTTTCAACAACAATATAACCGATATATCTTACTTCTCGAGATATCGATGTTTAAAATTATTAACTATTGAAATTACTAACAAAAACTTCATCCGCCGTCTAAGGCTGCGGTTATATTAAATGCGATTTTGGTCTTGCGTGCTCGTGCTAACAAATCAAATGTATACAATCATATGTTAGGGGTTATAGTTTCTAAGAACAGTTCGCGCGACGTGTTGTTTCTCTTAGGCGAATATTTGATTAAACAAAATATTTTGTTTGAAATTCACGCGTTCGTGCAAAATGAAAGGTGTAAATAGCGAAATTGATAGGTGTGTGTTGTTTTCACATAATTTTGAGTTTATGAATGGAAATAAATTGAAAACATTTACTACTTTTAGGAAACGGAATACGATGTGCTACTTTCTTTCTTTGAGGAATAGACAAATTCTCCATTTTTATACCTTGAAGAATAAAAATCGTGCACCCGAATTTATCTTTTGTTATTTGAAAGTAATAAATAATTGTTAATGAATTTTCCGTTAAATATGTATCATCTTCGTTATCTATTTATTTTTCAAAACAAACAAAACAGAACTGTCAATTAACAAGAAATGTAATCGCAACATGCAATGTGTTCGCATGAGAAATCATATGTACAAACACGCAAGACAAATGGAGGAGCTGGATAGAGGAACTCTGAATAACAATTTTTTTTTGTATTTTGATATCTTACTTTAATTTAAAAATGAAAATCGGATATTTTTTTCAAATAATTGTTACTTTTCTGTTAATGTTATACATTGACAAAAAATGCGCTTAAGCGCCCTCTTTTCGATTAATCGAACACCAGTTTTCTCGAAAACTAAAAATTGCAAAAAATTTTTTGATTTCAGATTCGTGATTTTATGAATATCTTGAGATATATCTTGAGAATTCAACAATAAGGTTGCTGAAAAAGTTATCGAAAGTTGCTGTTTTCACTAAAAACCCATTGTCAAAGACGTGTGCTGGAATCTTGGATCGTACCTTAATCTCAAATAAATAACTAAAATGCAGAAATTTAAAAATTGATTGCTGTTGTTCTGTCAAAATTGAGGCAGAACGTAAGAAGAGTTTTGTTTATATATTTCATATGTTTTTCAATTTGCTTTTTTAAATAATTTAGTGTTAATTCAGCTTAGTCAATTACGCATCTACACTGAATAAATTTTGGTATTTGTTCAAATGCGAAATCATATTTGTATGCATTAGTGAAAAAATAGAATGTTTGAAAAAACTTTCCAAAGCTTAGTTTGTTTATTCTGTATGTTTATTATCTAGACTTTGTCAAGTTATCTATGCTTAAATAAAAATACGTATTATTTTTGAATTTTACAATCAAAACCTAAAATGTGTTATATGGCGTTTACATTGGCCGAAAATGGCTCATTTTGGTCAAAAATCGAAAATGAGTATCGAATGACTCATTCTTGCATATAAAATTTCAAGCGCAAAAATGAGCAATTTTCACACATTCTGTATGAAAGACGTTCGAATGCATTCCACATATGTTCCAAGTGCAAAGGAATCCATTGAACATACCATAAATAAAAGCTTTTCATAGCATTTTGACAGTTTGAGAAAGCTGTTGACATATTTACAAAAAAAAAGGTAAACAAATGTTTGGTGGTTGCATTTTCTTGAAAACGATGCACCTCTTTTTAGAACTTCTACTTCCTAAAAGGTAATTAATGGAAGTTAAAAATATGTTTTAAGTTTATATTGTAAGGTTTGAAAGCATATTTAACCTTCATGCAATATTTTTTTGGCACAGGCCAAAAATCAAATCAACAAGCAAGTTGCAAAATCAGCTGTTTAAAATGAAAACAAACGAATTACAACGAATGTAAACACTTTCAAATGGGTCATTCAAAATGAGCCATTTTCGGCCAATGTAAACGCCATATTAGTAAAAACTGAAGGTGTTTGCAAAAGTCATGCAAATAGTGTAGACGCATGATTATCTTCGTTACGATCGGATTTTTGTCAAATTCCATTTCAATTTTGTAGCCCGCGTCTAATTGCTAAAAAATCTAACAAAACATTTTTAACGCAGTCAAGTGATAGATGTTTATCTTTTTATAAATTATATGTTGTATTTTAATTTCTTATAAACAATTAATAGAACTAGTGCAAAGAAACATACGATTTTAGTAATCTTTCTTATTCAGACTATCTGTAGGGATAACGATATCATATGAATGTCCAAAGAAGTACAAATTGTGCGTGCCAAACGCATCAAACTATTTTGGTCTGAAATAAACTGAAGTCACTATTATATATGTAGATAGATTAGGTTAGGTTGGAGCGACGGTCTTTTGTGTGAAGCCCACTTGAACACAAAAAATGGCTCGTTGTAATATCACAGATCAGCCTTGTTCATACGCGGACCAAAATGATTTCCGAAGGGACCGCAGTGGTCAGCGTGTGAATAATGCTGTGAGGTACGATTCGTCCATTGAAGTGAATCATTCTGAAGAGTCTATATATTTGACCAAGTCCTTAATTTTGAAGAATGACAGCTCTGTTATTTCTGTAGGAAGAGGTTCATAGAACTCTGATCTTCTCGTAACCGATGACGGTTATTGTCCATTATAATAATTAACCTAGTCTTAACTGGTTGAGAAATGTACTGCTTCAACTAATCTGTTCACTACTACGGTACCTATGCAATGAATCCTATCTACCCAAGTTTGGTTAGCTATATTCATATATTTTTGTTGGTTACCAGCTTGGTCGTTATAAGTAGTATATCAATGTCCGAGAAATGAATGTCAGAGAGTAGAATTCTTGTTCTCAGACATTCATTTTCCACTGTAAATAGCTACCATGTTAAAAGAAACCAATTTATGTAGAGGTCAAGGTCTCTGTTAAAGTAAATGAATAACGGAGAGAGAGAATTGAGTCTGGTTACCACAAATTTAGCTTGCTGTTTCAATGGAAGCCGATAAAGCGATCAATTAAGTAAAGCGAAAGCAGCTTTGGTGTGAGTGGAACTTAAGGTTCCATTGATTTGTAAGGCAGTCATCATCGAGCAGTTTAATGGAAACCTTTGGAATTTAACATGGAAAATATCAGTGCAAACCTTGTCCTCAATCCAAGTTATCGCACTGTCTCCACGCATCGCCGTCACGGTAGGTATCTATGTAAAATTTTAGATCTTCATGTCCCTACCTACTATCTGAACTCCATGTGGCATCCCTGGATATTTCCCTATCCAGGTTGTAACTTGCGTTGCGGTGTAATAAGTGGAAGTACCAGAATCTTACACCGCTATATTTATAAGGCAGCCTGCTATCTCACGATCAATCAACACTTAACCAGATTTATTACTTCGTGATTGACGCAATGTACGCTTCAAGTGTGCTGGACCTAGGTTCATTCCGTGGTTCACATATTGATTCAGACAACTACCTTGTTGCAGCAAAATACGTCACCAACAACGTATGCTCCCATGCACAAGAAAAGCTTGATGTAGTTAAGCTGTTATTATGTAAGACAACCGAAGTCTTCGCCGCTCAACGCTCTAGCCGAATAAACAACCAACTCTCGTTCCAATGATGACCATAAATTCAATCAAAGAGTCAACAGTCTGACTCAAGGCTTTAAACCTGTAATCTAGTTAAATATACACAGAGTGTGCATGCCAACTCACTGATTGGGTCTTATCAGTATGGCTTCCGATCTGGTCGCTCCACCATTAACCAAATATTCACACTATGACAAATCCTGGAAAAAGTACACGAACATAACATCAACACTCACTACTTTTTTGTTGATTGTAAAGCAGTGTTCGATAACCCGTTTACGCCGCAATTTCTGAGCTCGGTATCCCTGAAATGGTAATACTGCTCTACAGAATGACGTTGAGCAATACCCATAGTTCCATCACGATAGGATCAAATCTCTTCGAACCCTTCGATACCGTGTGAGGCTTTAGACAAAGTGATTCCTTATCATGTGATCTTTTTAATTTCGTAGAATAGATGTTTATCATAATGGATCAATACTATACAAATGTGTCCAGCTCCTTGCAAGATTGATGTTACAGCTACCTTTGTTTCTATGAAAAAGGAATCTGCATGAATGGGCTTAGCGGTAATAGAGGGCAAAACGAAGTATATGTCGGATACTGCTAGAAATATGCATCGCTCCTTGCTTGTGATGCCGAGCTAGTGGCTTGCGACTATACTTTCGTATCTGTCAAGGGATTGTTTTACCTTGGCGCCGCCGTAACAAGCAACACCGATATCAGCCTGAAGATCATACGAAGAGTCATTATTGCTAATAAATGCTACTATGGGCTCAGTAGGCAATTGGGACGAAGTGATGAAGCACTACTTGGAGTGTTCAAGAGAAAAGTTCTTCGTAAGTTCGTATGAGTTGTACGCGCTTTATCACAACATTGATATAATTTAGTGAAACAACATCCATCCATTAACAGACCAAATATTTTTAATGACAGACATCGGTGAGGTCTCGCAGGATAGCACCATACCTGTAAAGAGATCGGAGCCAGCTGGGAAGACAAGATTATGCTACCTCCGTCTTCGAAGGAAAGGGTATTGATTTTATCAGATGTCCTTTCATGGGGAGTGTTGGATTCTGAAGTGGCATCGGTTCTGTCATCAGAGGCCGATTCCGAAGATGCAACCCTAGAAGGTTGTTACTTAACTTTTTGGGATTCGGCTTTATATATCCGAAAGATGACTAACCCGAAGCCATAGTTGATCACCACATTGCGGGCTTGAAGAAGGGCGAAAGATTCTTCGTTAAGAACCACAAGTGCTACGATGAAGTCGCCTTTGGGATCGCTAACCTTTGTTGCTTTCCAGTCATGTGTGGGGATATCGGCAATACTGGCCTTTAGAATTGAGAAAATTTCCTCAGGCAAGGTAAGCTCCGAAGGAAGCCAGACTTTGGAGCGGGGGGAATTGTGGAATGTTATCCACAAAAGTAGCCCTGAGTTCTTTGCAATTTTTGTAAAAAAACATTATCAAGCGGAAGCGATTGATTCAATTTTTCAATTTTTTCAACCGGTTTGTACAGGACTTCAAATCTTTTTTGATTACTAACTTTCTTTACAGATTTAAAAGAGGATGTCTTGCAACGCTTAATATTGGAATCAAGCTCCCCTGAGCAGCGGCTGCCGCTACTCGGTGGGCGGACCTTCATATCCGCAACGGGGTAAGCTTATAGGTGAGTAAGCTTGTAGGCAAGCAGACAGACGGACAGGCGCAACAGATAAAGGAGAATAGGTGGGCGTATGCCGGTTTCAAAATTTAAATTTAAAGTAATGGAAAAAACAAGGTTAGATTAAATGGTAGCAGAGCTGGTGACAATTATATATAAAATGCAAGCACATATATGCAACCAAAATATAAAATAAAAAAGTAAAATAAAATAAAATAAAATAAGATAGAGTAAATAAATAAAATAAATAAATAATATAAATAAAATGAATAAAATAAGTAAAATAAACAAAACAAACGAGACAAACAAAACAATTAAAATAGACAAAGCAATCAAAATAAATAAAAGAATAATCGAACTAACGGAAGAATGCGGATATGCAAAAGGAAAATAACAACATACTAAAATTGATAGTAGTATAAATTTGAAATAAAAATTAAATTTAAGTACTACCAATAGCACTTGAAATTGAAGATAAAATTAAAAATACAAAGTAAGAAAAAAGTAAAATAGAAAGTAAAATATAGAGAAATAAAAAATTAATTAAATAAAAGGATATCAAATGTTTATAAAAAATAAAATAAATTGTAGAATTGTTCACATACAGTGCGCACAGATAACACAACAAACAGAAATCCTTTTCGTTGTGAAATTCTCTTTGCCGTGCGGGAATGCGCACCAAGTGTGATAAACCAAATTTAAATAATTTAATAATTTAAAATTATTTTAATTGAAAATTAATTTAAATTAAAAGAAAATAAAATGAAATAGTAGAAAGTTGCAAAATTTTAAAATAATAAAAATCCGAGTTCGTATTTGCGTACCCATGAGCAGCTCCTTTCGGCTCATTTTGATCACGGCTCATAAACCGGCAAGAAGCTTTTTTCGTACCATGCCTCACGCTTACAAGCGAACTCAATTGCAGAGCTCACGCTCGTGAGTAAGAGCCGCCATCTTGCCCGAGAGCAATAGTCGAACTGAGGCTCATGAGACCTCATGCGCTGCTTACAAGAATGTGCTGCATGAAGGAATATGAAAAATATATGGCATTGTTGTTGTTTTCATTACACAATTTGGCACGTGCCACTTTTTATTTGAATTTTGTGATTTTACTTAATTAATAGTTTTATATTAATTCAAGTGTTTTAAATTATGTGAAATTGTTTTTCGCAAAATTTGAACATAAAAAAATAAATATATCAAAGTTTTACATGAATGCCATAAAACAATTTGTTTACAATGCGAAAAACAATGTAGTATTGTTTCATTCTATTGTTTTAATATAAATTATAACAAGTTAAGTTAATTTTAAATTATATATTTTCATATAACAAGAAACGTATACAAAAATAATTAAAGCAAATAAACTAATCAAAAATAATTCGGGTTTTACTGAGCAGTTGAGCTCTCCGGTCATGAGCCCTCATGAGCAGCTCTTCAATATGAGCAAATTGAAGGCTAGCGCTGGTAAACAGCTCTTCAATATAAGCCAATTTTAGGCTTACGTAAAAATTGGCTATTGCTCATAAGCCTGAGCTGCTCATGAGTGAGCAAATACAAACCCTGATTTAAACCAAAACAACTTAAAACAAAATATTAAGAATGAAATTAAAAACTAAAAGTAAATGAATCTGAAAGTAGATAAAGGTATATAATGAAATTTATGGTAAGATTAATTAAAACCTAAAGAATGTGCGTTACCGCTAGACGCCAATATCCAAATTTATACACCCTGAATTTACACAATTTAGTGACACTTGAACAGAACAGTCTTGCAGGAGTGATTAATTCGCATGAATAAATTGAATAAATGAATCCCAATGTACCGTGTGCCCCATTTAAGAATTTTTTTAAACGAGAGTTTCAAGTATGTATTTATTAAAAACTCTGATATTTCTAGTGTGCGTTCGTAAGTTTTATATATCATGATACCATAAATATTTACTCTGTATACAGCTCAATTTTTGTTTGTTTACATAGAACACATGACAAATATGTCACATTTTGGTAATTTCTCTTGTGTGAAATTTATTTTTAAGTATTAATAGCTTTCGACACTTATGGTCTAAATTCCTTTGATTTATATGTAAGTTTAAAGGCAAAAGGCAATAAATCTCTTTGTATGTTTAATGAGATTTACCTATGGTAAGTTTCCACTGACTTCGTTAGATCAGTTGACTTACTTAAAATTCAAGTAATTTAGGCAATCTGAAAAAAGTTAACTGTTAAGCATGATATAGACGATGCTACATGTATGCGGACCAAGTATGCATACTATTAAATCGCACTGTGGTGAGCGTCGGACGAGCAAAGATCGCGGAAAAAATTATTAATTAGTGACAAAACAAAAATAATTGAAAAAGTGCTTGATACTTATTTTCTTTAAAAATAGCAAATTCGAAAAAAATGTGCTACAATAAATTATTAAGAAGCTTATATATTTAAAAAATTATTTTATGAATAAAAATATTAAAATACATAATTATAAAGAATTGAATTAAAAATAATTTTAGTTTTAAGAATTAAAATAAGAACGCCAGCAACAACAACAACAACAAAAAATTATGGTTAATTCTAAGATATATGAAATCTTTATACAATGAAATAAATAACTTGTTACTCTTATCATCACCTCAATTTCTTCAGTTTCAACTATTGTTTTGCATTCTGTACTTGCTCTGCTGTTGTTATGCACGCTGTAGAAAATAAATCAAAATGAAGTATGTATACCTAGTTTCAAAGTGTATATCAAAGCGCATACTTGAACTGCATATTTAGTCTGCATACCTGTAGCATCGTCTATATCCTGCTTAAGATATACTTACTAAATAAGCATTGGAAACATGGTTATAAAAAACATGGAAGCTCTTTGTATGGTTTAGGAAATTTACTTAATGAGTAACATGTAATAAAAAAGCAGTGTAAACATATTATAAGAAAATCGGGATTTTTAGGTTAAGAATTAAAAATCTTGTATGAAAACGTCAAACGAGAGATCATAATGTGATTGCATTTACTGTTATATCAATATAACAATAAATCGAAATGGTGTCATTTCAATTTTGGTGTAAAAGCGCTTATAGAGAGATGTAACATGTTACTCTCCATAATGTTCGCTTAAATAAGAGCAAATTTATGACAGTAATATATGACATAAATAATATATGACAGTTCTGGTATGGTGAATAAATAAGAGAAACTTTTTTGTGATATTACACAGAGGTCCAGGTTTTCAATATTTCATCGAAGTTTCTTTTCTTTATTATCTTTGCTAGGTACCATTCTTGTGAATTGTTCTTTGGTCAAGTGTTTCTATTTTTTTGAAGGTCTTGTTAGCTGCATAGAATACGATATGACAGGTGCATAGAATATGTCGTTCATGTTTGACAACGTTCTGTGGTATAAATTTATCGATGTAGGTATAAATTATTTTGGTATTTGTAGTATTACGTAGTGAAATTGCTGTTTTTAATGTATTTTCATTAATGCATATGTGCGTAAACAAGCTTATGTAAATAATTATGTGTTTGACATTTTTTATTGATTCCGGTTTCTTTAATGTTGAATATACCAAGCTCAAGTCAAATAGTCCTGTGGGTGCAATAAATAATTTGTTATATATTCCTATGCGTAAACTACTTCAGAAACCTGACAGATTCGCTTTCCTATATCAGTTCCCGGTGTTGGAAAGTTATATAATGTATATTGATTAACTTTCTAATAAATACATTAAACTTTTCGTAAGATCATGCAAATAAATTTATTTCTGTAATTCAATACGGCAAAGGACAATATTGATTCCTGCAGCTGTTTTCCGGTAAGATGTGCTCGGGAAGACTACAGGTAAGAAAGAAATTATGTATCCATTTTTCAACACGAACAATTTGTGTACATTCAAATGTGAAACAGAGTTTAATATAACATTGCACTTCACTACAGAAGTGAAAACTAAATATATGTTTGTTTTTATACATTAAAAATACTCATAAATCACATCCTACCAAATATTCAAGCCAATAATAACTCCAAAACAGTTGGCCCTCTAATGTACCCTTTAGTTACAATAACATATATGTATATATACATAAAATTTTAAATCATTTCACCTATGTAGTAGATGTACATTGTCGCATGTACATTGTAAATATATTCAAATTTATAATTTGTTTTCTTGTGTTTATGTTATAAAGCCCATGTAGGATGTTTTCTACGTTACGGTTAGTTACCGTATAAGGTACCGTATAGGAATATTAAAGGTACTTGTCGCAGTGATGAGCTAGGACAGACTTTATTATAATGCCATGATTGCTTCTAAAATTTGCCTTTTGCATATGCATATAAAGCAGCGCACTAGGGGTTTGAGTTAGATTTGGTTTCGATTTTAGACATTTGCTGTTTCTTTATTGATTCGTTAGATTTAGTCTAATCAAATTGCTATTTATCATATTATTACATCATTAGAAGTAAGAGTTAAAAATTTTTCTTGTATAATGTTTTTGTTAATATTTGTAAATATTTAAATTTTTATTATCAGAAATATCACTGAAAAATTGCATTTAGGTTATTGCCCATATACCGCCAACCTCTAAATTATTACTTTATTATCACAATAGGATATGAAAATTAATTTAATCCATAATATTTAATTTATTTTAGGTATTAGCATAATACTATTTACGTATATAATGTTATAAAATAATTTTATATTTGAAAATCTTGTATTGATAGGGAGTTGTAGATTTATTTATGGATTATGACTATTCTGATTACACTGACCTATATTTAAATATATTCATCCGTAACCGATTTGGTCGATGAGAAAGTAAAAATTCTCATTAAATTCATTTGATACCGTGCTAAATTAGTTGTAGATGTACACAACGTAAGAAATATAAACAGCTGAACGCAAAAGAAGTAATTAGTTAAAACAGAGTACAACACGCAAAATAACATAAAAACATAAATAATGCAAGATCAATTTGATCACAAAATAGTTTGTACGCAAGGATATACAATGTAATTGCTCAATGTTTATATTAGCTGACTTAAGAACTTATTGAATTAATCGAATGCGGGTCAACTGACTTCGTACAGAACAATTAATTCATACTTTACTTTTGCTTGGATTTGACTGTATTACAATGTATTACATTTCGCCTATTCCTTGAAGATTCCTCAGCGATAGTAATGGCATATCTCATGGTCTTAGTATTACTCCACGGGTTTAAAATAGAGTGGTAATTGTATTTATGTTATATTTCTTATAAAAATAATCCCTTCCTTTAGCAAGTTTATAGATAAGTTTACTTGTACTTGTCTATAAAAAAAACTATTTGTGACAAACTTAAAGATTTTTTTTCAATCACGGTAATTTATTTTGTCTCATTCTTATTTGCCATGAATTGTCAATAAAAAGTTCATTTTAGTCCAGTCGCTAAATTTAACCATTTTTTTAACAAAATGAAAACTAATTAAAACTATTTGGTGGAAATCATTTTTGGTTATCTATTTTTTGATAGGTTCATTAATCGGTTATGTAGTTTACAACTATATATAATACTAAGTAATTTGTAGATCTGTTTCTGGGCCCTATGCTCCACTTAGGAGAGAAGGGCACCAGTAAGTAAGACCTGTTTCTAAAGATTTTTCTTCTACTTATCTATGAATTCTTTATATTTGTACATCATAGCTTAATTTTGAACTTGCGGCTGTCTCAATAAATTGAAATATAACTAGTAATGCATTCTTAGTAATGCAGTCTTATTTTCCAAAATTATTTTCACGTACTATTTATTGAACACTAGTTCAGCAGCTTTTTTTTTTTTGTATATGATTTTCAACGCTAATATTAGGTCTGTTAAAATGTTACACGAGCTACTCGTAGTAACTTTGAATAACACTGTGTATACACAAGTGCGTTCCACCAGCAAATTTTCGGTTAAATGAAAGCCACTGAGAGAGCGTAGCATCTGAGAGAGCGTAGCATCTGAGAGAGCGTAGCATCTCTGTCGAAATTTGAAAATGCTACACAGACTTTACTCGTGCATTTTATTTCAAGTAAAATTTGTGTGATGTGTGACTCAGCTGTTTTGATTTGAATTCAAATTTTTGTATTGGTTATTTGCGCGACACTGGTGTTCTCACCAGATTTTACACAAAGCTGTTCCATGAAAATCTGTGCAAAAAGAGTAATTTAGCATTTTATTTGTGTTATGCTCTCAGTTTACACTTTACTTGTGCTTTACACAAGTAACAGACCTGTTATATATTATCCATCCGTTATATTCTCTGACTATCTTTTCTTCTTTCACTTTTTACCTTTTTGCATCAATTTTGATCGTGTTAGGCCCATGTTATGTAGAGTGTCACGGGCACGTCAAAATCAAAATTGTTTTTGTTTTTAATGAAAATTAAAAAACAGAGTGAGAGAAAAAAATAAATGTCAGATTAAATTCGGTCATGAGAGCCAAACTATCTGTGCCCCGCACTGTCAAAGCTGTGTTGTATGTATGTATCAGAGAACTTCAATTCAGACTCTCTTTTTCGTTAACTTGACTGCACTTGATTCATATAAACAGCTGATAGTACTTAGAAAGATTTATACTCTGCTCATGTGATGATTAATGAGCCATTTATGAGTATTAAATCACAGTCGGGAAAAATTTGCTTGTTCTTGTTTACTGTGCATATAATTTGCTAGTAAAATATCTAAAATTATGCACATGAAATATTTCAAAACACAAACAAAACACGTGCATTTATAATGCTAACAACAACAACACACATTAAAAACATTAAACTAAACACAACAGCGCTCACACAAAATTTTTACGAACGTCGCAAGTGATCGAGTCATTCATTTTCAATGAGTATATTTGTACTCATCTGAGTATATGCTTTGATTCATGAATTATACGTATTCTTCTGAAGCTGAATCTTTAGCACCGACATTCGTTAATGAACATACTTACGAATCATTTCTGTGGCGAATATGAATGCATATAAATAGTGTGTGAGAAAAACATTTATATGCATTTACATTTGGTGTTTTATGAGTTCACTCTGGATGTTAAAATTATGACCGTTGCAGTTCTCTGGTATGTATGTCCTTTTAAATTCAGGTACAATAAAAAATGACAAAAATAATAGAAAAAATACGAAATTGACAAACTGATGTGACACTCTGCATAATATGCATTCTCGTCAGTAAATTTCATTAACCATACAAAGAGCTTCCGTGCTTTTTAACTTAAAAATTAAGCAAGGAAAATTACACCAAAAATGTCAAATGCAACTCTTAAAAATAAATATTCCACAAAGCAAATCATCAAAATTTGAAATATTTGTCACATGTTTTATATGGAAAATATAAACAAACTAGAGATAAGCTAAGCTATAAACAAACACACTGAGGAAGTAAATATTTCATGTAATCTTTGTTATTATAATATATATCAATTACATATATATATAATGATATGTATATAATTGATATATAAATTATATATTTAATTTTTTGTGAAATATATTATTAAGTGAATTTTAAACAAACCGAAGCTCTCTTAGAACTGTCTGACACATAAAAGCTCTTTCACATGCAACTAACTTATGCCAATGGAAACGACAAAATCTTAAAGTAACTTTAGTAACATATTAAGTAAGCAGTGGAAACATATTTTTACGTGATTTTTATGTATCAATAACTTTGACATATTTATTACCAAATTTTTCAATTGGCAGAACTTTGTAATTTCATTTATCATTACCTACATAATTTTTGGCGTTTCGGGTGATCATAATTGGTACGAAGTATCACTTTAATTACTCCAAAACGAAGCGTGTCCTTAATATAATTTTTTCACTACCTTAAAGATATGCGAGTGGTGCTATCATTTTTTAAGGCTTTAGTTTCAAACTTCTTTTTTAGTCCCTGTTCTGTTTAAACCCTATCTCCGTCAATTGACTTTCCTCGATTACTAATCGTACTACAGCAGACAATTAAGGTCGTGACGATATGTTTGAAGAAGTTTTTTAGGTATCGATGAGCTATGCATATGATTATATAGATTATTTTAATTATACTAAAACTTTACTAATAAAATTTAAAATTTCTTATTCAGTAGTTTTCTCTTATATATTTGCTTGTATATTAAGTGAGAGGTTAACCTTTATTTATTGATTTGTCGTGTAAAGTCATATTCATCACTTAAAATTTATTTGCATATACGATATATCTGCTTGTGTTTCAGTTTACTCATCTGAACCTCTGCTCAAATATGAGGAAATTTTTATGTCGTAATTTCTTTACTGTTCCTGTAGAATTACATGACTATAATTTTATTTGCGTGCTTTGTAGGTGTAAGATGCAGTTTTTATTCCGAACCAAAGAATATTTTAAGAGACAGATAGATGTTTTCCCTTTATTTAATTGCATTTGATAAAAAATTAGAATAGAGTGTAACTATTGCTTATTTAAAGCGTTATTGATAACGCTGATAAAAATGATTTTATGTTTATCCGTAATAAGGTGATTCATCCTGCAAGGTAAGCATGAAGTGTTTTATGCTATAAAACTTGTGCAAAGTTTTATTTTTGTTTTGATCTGTATTTTATTTATAATGTGGCTATATATAAGAGGATCGGAGGAATCCATTGTTCTTTGGAAAACATCGGTTATATTGTGTATTCTCTACTGTCGTGCATGTGATTAAATATCGTGCTTATAATATTTTACTTAGTTCTTGAATGTTGTTGTATTGGCTTTTGCTCAAACAATTTTCGAATAAAAATGTTACAGCCTTATTTGGGGTTAAAGATACTGGTTGCAATGAAGAAGGCTTTTTTTATATATTTCGTTTCACTAAAATAAATCAAATTAATTAAGATAATTACATTTTCACTCCACAATGCATAGACATGCTGGATAGTTTTTTTTTTGTTTTAGGACTAAACAAAGCATTACATACCATTACATTTACAATCAACGTACCTTGGATTCCATGATTAACATTTACGTTTTACGGTTTAATCGCACGTTATAAATTCGCAAACTCACAAGGTTTAGTAAAAGTTTCGCGAGCTTTTTACTACAACAACAAAGATGATCTATGACTTTGAAAATTGATTAAAACTCAAGGGTAATATAGTAAACATTTATCAATTCATTATTACTAAAGTATATTGTTAGAGAATTTTCGAATAGCAAAGAAAGAAAGAAAGGACAAACACAAAAATTTTATTTTAATTTTATTGAAATTTGGCTGACCATACAACGCTGTTTCGAGTATTGCCAAGTACTCTTCATCAGTGGTCTTCATCAATAAATTGTTGTGTTTGTCCTTTTTTTCTTTCTTTGCTATTCGAATATTCTCTAAAAATTTAAATATCGCTTCTTTGTGACTATAAAGAAAGCGTAGCTTTACCAGCAACAATAATACATACTTTAAAGTATATTACTTAAGAATATTTAATTAAAATATAGTTCCGTTTCAAAAAATTTTTTGAATTTATGCCAAAAAATTGGCCATATGGTCCAGAACATTGTAGCTTTTTTTTTAATTCAACTTTTTTGAAACCACTTAAGCGATGAGTAGTTCACAACGTAAGGTTAGCGAAACTTACTCTTTTTAATGGAACGTAAGTCATTGTATGATATAAAAGTAGACAAATTAAAGAAGTTTAAATTTCTAAAAAAAATATAGACTTATTATACTTATTAAGGAAATTCTTCAAAAAGTACAGTTAGCATTAAGTGAAAGACTTTGAGAACGATATTTATATTTTTTACGTTCCTAAGGTTTAAGGTTTGAACAGTTCAAGATTGTAATTATAACTTTTCAGTTTATAATTTAATTTCAATAGATATAATAGATATAAAATAAAAATATCTATAAAAATATAATTTTATTTACACTATAAGAATTTAAGAGAAAAAGAGTAAAATTTATAGAAAAGAGGAAGAAGCTACGTTAATTGCACCTATTTTCAAGTGAATGCACCCACACTGCATAATATTGTCATGCACCCTGAAAATACCACGTTGATTTTTTTAAAAAGCGCATTTTTTAAAACCAATACATTTTTTGTAACATTTTTAATTCTTCCAACCAGATAACAAATTAATACATTACAGAATCATGCATATTGTAGGCAAAGATTACGCAGACTATTCAATCAGTATGTAGATTTAACTTCATCGGTTTTTGGTTAGCTGCTCAACCGATATATGCATTATAATCTTGATGTGCAAGTGTGCTGCTTGATTGACGGTTTTTGCTTTGCCACTTTTGTCTTTAATCGTCATATAAGCACAGCTTCTGCACTTAACTGTCACTTTTTACCAGCAAACAACTTTAAAGTTTTCTCAATAAATTAAGAGTTTTCCATGGCGCACAACTGACAATTTTGTTTGTTTACTAATCCATGTAACATGCCTCAATCCTTATCACTCATAATAGTTGTTAACCAACAATTCACCGTCTTGTAATATACAAGAAGAGGCTTGCAGTGACCGTTCAACACTCGCCTTTTCGGCTTCATTATTTTCATTAGATCGTTTTGTTCGTTTTTTTGGAATCCTGGCCTAGCAACACTATCAGAAGATAAAAATGTTTCGGGCAAACGCTTAATGTGTTTTTCAAACACACGTTCATTTAACACATCACTCAATAAATCGTGTGACTTATTAAGAAAAAGAAATTTTTTCTGTCAAAAATCGATTTTACTCATCAATATAATCTCCTTCCAGGGCAATACAATCATTCCAACGCTTCTCTAACTTCTGGATGCCGTGCTTGTAGAAGGGTTTGTCTTTTACCTCAAAATAGGCTTTAGTTTCAGCAATTACATCTTCATTTGAGATGAATTTCTTACCGGCGGGCATTTTTTTGAGATCAGCGAATAGCCAGTAGTTGCTGGGGGCCAGATCTGGACTATAAGGTTGATGAGGAAGCAATTCGAAGTGTAATTCGTGCAATTTTGCCATTGTTTTTGTTGGCAATATATTGCCATTAAAAAAATTGATTTATTTTCAATTTGCGCAAATATTCACAGTCAATTTTTTTTAAAACTTCTGGTACATACTTGTATTAGTTTGTATAAAAAATCTGGGCGTTGCTTTTAACCGTTTTTTTTATTTATGTTTAAAGTTCCGTATGTTAAATTATATAAATTATATATTAGAAAAAGTAGCATAAAAGAATTTGTTATGCATGTTCTAAACTTTGATGCCATCCAGTAGCCAAATTAACATATATTTTTGAAAAATCTGTTCTGATTTTAATAAACTGCATTGAACCATTTTTTCAATTTTCAGTTTCACATCACATCATCAACATCGGTAGCGCCTACTTCTTAGTGTCCTTTCCTAAGTGTATATTTTTAGTTGACGACCTCTCTGAAATTGTCAATTACGAATGGTGACACATGGCGTGGTTTTCGCTTAATTCGCTTCTTCACTTTACGAATCATTTCTGATGTTGTTACTGGTTTTTTTTTTGTTTACTTTCTGAACCTCGGGTAATGCTACCAGTATCACAGTATTGAGCTATGGTACGAGACACAAATAATTTGTTCACATTTAGGTGTTGGAGGGCTCGAACGATAACCACTTGTGTTTGTGCAGACAAATATAAAACAATCACATTATCACTTTTGAACTTCATCACATACAACTTCTTTTCAACAACACAAAAATCAAAATGCCCTCGTACGCTTATAAACAAGACCACGAACTGTCAAATGAATAAATTTTAAGCTTTCTGTCATTATTGGTTTGACAGCTAGATCGGTGCGAATTTTTTTGCAATCGTCTTCAGAGATCCTGTATTTAAAAATTTTCGTGAAGATTGTTGTATTGTAATATGTCTTTTGTACTAAAATATTCATAAAATGATATTGTTTATTTTTTTTATTTCAGGCACCCCGCATGCAATGAGCATAACAATAACTGCTTTTCTAAATTTTCCCTTGGAAACGTTACAAGCTTACAAAAAAAAACATTTCAGCTGAATAAATTATTTAAAATAAAAATAGGTGATCAAACGAATACATCATTCTTTTACCATAATCTAAAACACCAAACTAAAAAGAAGTTTAAAACTGAATACACGCAAAAGGAATTAACTCGTTTTGGATCAGAAGAAAACGTGTGCATTATTAAACCCAATATATTATACAGAGTTATAATACAATTTTCAAATGGAACTAAAAGAAAATCTGGCGCAAGTAACAAATACATTTCAAGAAAACAAAATGAGTTCAACTTCCATACTATATTAATGGAATGTGACCTTTTTAGTTACTGTTATTTTGACTTTGAACACTTTATTAGAACATATATATATATTGAACTTTCTAACAGAAAACTAAGGAAAAATGAGCTACAAAATAGCGGATGTCAAAACATATTAGTAACTAAAACAAGTAGTAAGAAAACAAAGACAAAATTAAATAAACAAAATGTAAATTATTTGAAGATTGAAGATTATAATTTAAATATACGCTATAAAATTGTACCTAAAAGTAAGCTTCATGAAAGAAATGTTTTTAAATTTACAATAAATAACGTCTTATCAAAAATGGAAACCATGAAAAAAGTGATTGATTCACCTCAGGCACCTACTACAACTCGTCGTGTTGGAACGGTTTCTTTCGAAGACAGTAAAGAAAAGTCGTCTAAGCAATATACGCAAAACATGAACCAGGAGAACATGAACGTATTATCAGAACCTGTCATATTTAAATCACCCTCAGTAGTGCAAATGCCTACTGCCACTACATGTAAAGCTGTTGAAAAGTTTAATCCAAATATGCGTTTCATCCGCAAAAATGTTGAACAATCTATTAAGAACATCAATTCTAATTACATGGAATTTGAAACAGAATTTCCTAGAGATTATGATGATAATATTGAAATGCTATCAAGAGAGGCTGAACATTTAGAAAAACAATTTTGTACCCCAACACGCACAAGTACAACTGAAGTAAAATTGCAAGTAATACATAATAAAGCTAACGATGATTACATTAACTTTAATAACATTGATCAGAAATCTACTTCCTGTTTAAATTCTAAACATATCGGATTTAAAGTGGAAGAAAAATTAGATGAAAAATTTTCTGAAGTAAGTACAGTGGAGAAAGAAAATGCAAAATCATTTTACAGCGATTCAGAAGAAAAACCTTTAAATCAATCGGGCGTACACTCGAGTACTGAAAGTAAAGGTACAGCTACTCCCATTCAAGTAGGTAGTACTGTAACAAGTACAATAAAAATTGCTTCATCAAAAGATGATGATGACGAACCTATAGCAATGTCTCCTTGTGGTCGTTTCTTTAAATACGATAAGGAAGTTGGTAGAGGATCATTTAAGACCGTATATCGTGGCCTAGATACCGAAACTGGAGTAGCAGTCGCTTGGTGTGAACTTTTGGTAAGTCAAATCCTTAATATTACAAAAAATCCGTTTTATATTTGTAATATAAAAACATTCTACTAATTAATTTATGTAATATTACAAATGACACGAATATACCCATTATAAGTATTTATACATGTACATCTATGTTAATTTGGACGTTAATATTTTTTATTTGATATATATGCATAGCTTAATTAAAGTACAAATAAAATTAAATAATTACATTTTAATGTTTTGTATGAGCTAATACGTCAATTTAATTATTACTGAAATTCAAAGGCATTAATCGCGTTAATCACAAATTTTTTTAAAAATTAACTTACACAAATAAGTTTTATGTCATTATACGTGACCAATTAATGAGACGAACATGATATGTTGCTTTCTTTTTTATTTTTTAAGCGACTGAACAATTTTAAATCGTGGTATATATCGCTGTTCCTAATGGCGCTTTTAAAATGTTCCGCAGAATCTTGTTCTCAAAACGTTGGATTATTTCGATTTCAATTTTATTTGATATTCTTACTTTTCCAGCGTATCGTTATAGCAGTGCACCACTAATTATTTTGATAATCTGCTGGCGAATTGTATAAGCGAATCGTTTTTGATACACTTCAAAAAATTTTAGTAAAAATAAAACAAAAAATATTGCTTGTAGCAATAGTATTTATCGTGCTTTTTAATTAGAACAAGTTTAATAGTTAAAAAAATGTAAATATTATCAATTTTGAAATTTTGATGACTAACTTTTCCCTTTAATTAATTAATGAAACATAATAAAAAGCAATCAGTCTCAAATGAAAAAAACTTAAAATTCATCAGAGACCCTTCAGTTAAAATTTATACGAACGGATATTATTTCCTGTTAACTGTTAGAATTACAAACTATTTAGGTTAGTCGAAAAAAAACAGATCGGTTATTATATTATTATAACTTAAATTTATCGTTTTTATTCTGAAAAAAAAAAATTAAATAAACGATCATAACAAAATTGTACATTCATTAATACATCCATGTCTGCATTCTAAAATATAATTTAAACTTTGTCAATTACGTTTGAATCACATAAATTACCAAAAACTTCGGTATGTCGTTTTTAGTTTTCTCATAGACAAGCCTATGGAGTATCTATTGGTAAAAATTTCTTAAAGTGGTCTGAACATCTTTATTTTAGGACACAATAGAAAGACAGAATCGTTAATTATAGCTCATTTAATCGTATCTTTAAAATTTTTAAAATTAAAAAAAAAAAATATTAAAATATTTTATTTTTGGTAACAATTTATTTTCAGGATAAACAAGTAAAAAAAAGTGAACGAACTCGTTTTCGAGAAGAGGCAGACATGCTTAAAAAATTGCAACATCCAAATATAGTGCGATTTTATACTTATTGGGAGTTCACAATTTCTCGGAAAAAAAATATTGTTTTGGTAACTGAGTTAATGCTGTCGGGAACTTTAAAGTCGTAAGTTAACTGTATTCTTTATTAAAATTTTTCTTACTATTTTTTTATAGGTATTTGAAGCGCTTTAAGAAAATAAATCCCAAAGTGTTAAAGTCATGGTGTCGTCAAATATTGAAAGGCTTACATTTTTTACATACACGACCTCTGCCTATCATTCATCGTGATCTAAAATGTGATAATATATTCATTACCGGTACAACGGGAAGTGTTAAAATTGGTGATTTAGGCCTTGCAACTTTAAAAAATCGATCGCATGCAAAATCCGTTATCGGTACTCCAGAATTTATGGCACCTGAAATGTATGAAGAACATTATGATGAGTCGGTTGATGTTTACGCATTTGGGATGTGCATGTTAGAGATGGCAGTATCGGAATATCCTTATAGTGAGTGCAAAGGACCAGCACAAATTTATAAAAAAGTAATATCAGGAATAAAACCCGCAGCTCTCGCAAAAGTTGAAGATCCCAAAGTACGAGAAATTATCGAAAAATGTATTGAGCTTAAGAAAGAAGATCGCCCTAGCTGTAAAGATTTACTTAATTCTGAATTTTTTGAAGAAGATATTGGAATTCGTGTTGAACCAACAGCTACTGAAGCTTTTTTAAATAACTCGGTAAATAATATTATAGAATTTAGACTTCGTTTCCTTGATCCGAAAAAACGTTCTTCTAAACACAAAGAAAATGAAGCTATTCAATTTGAATATGATATAAAAAAGGATGATTGTGAACAAATTTGTCATGACATGACTAAAGAAAATATTATTAACGAAGAAGACACGAGATCAGTGATTCGTCTTTTAAAAGTACAAGTATTTTCATTAATAAGGGAAAGACTGCAACGACAAACACAATTACAACTTCAAAACGAAAAATCACGTTTAGAAAAATTAGCCTTACAGAAACAACGGGAAATGCTCTTACCGGAAGAAGATGAAGACGAAGCAGATTCAGAAGAAGATGACGATGATTTGAAATGGGTTTCAAAGATGGAGTTAACTGAATCTAAAGAAAGTGATGTTAAAACAAAGTCTGTTACAAATATTAATAAAAGTACTAGTGCAGAAATTATTCTTAATGAAATTCAAAATGATATTATCATTTCAAATAGTGAACAAAATTTGCCCGATGAAAAACAGCAGATACATAATCAAATATTAAATCAGGATTCTTTTGAAACTTTACCAAATATTTTGCAAAGTAATGCAAACATTCAAACTCAATTACAACAGCCTGAAAAATGTTCAAATGACACACATAATCAACATCAATTAGATTTAAAGGAAAATATGGATATTAATTTGGAAAAATCAGTTCATTTTTATGACTCTGCTAATAAACACCCATTTCAGGTGCCAAACAATGATCATCAATCACTATTATACATAAATAAACTTACAAATTCACAAAATTTATCAACAGTTAATGGTGACAACAAAAACCAACAAGGCGATGAAAGTTCATTGCAAGTATTACAGGATAATAGCTTTTTATCACATATTGCTCAAGCATCTATCCAACATAATCCTGAAGTTGCATATCATCAAGAAACTGTACAGGATAAATTGTCTGCCATGACATTAAATATTAATAAGACGACTGCACCACAGTGTTTAGAAACAAGTACCATATATCCTAATGATTTGAATAAAGTTTCGGATATTTCAACGGATGATGGCCAAAGTTCAC